CTCTGGGTGCCTCTTTGTGCTTCGTATGCTTTTGCTTCCTCCTCCTCTAGCTTGGCGTTGTGGTGCCGCTTGAGAGCGTTGACCTCCCAAGTGTGCCACTTCTCCTGCTTGGCCAACTGCGCTTCGGTCGTGTGGTACATCTTTTGCTCGATGGTCTGCTCGTAGGCCTTCAGTTCGCTTTTGTGCTTGAACTCTGCTTGTGCTAGTAGGTCGCTTTGCTGCTGTTCTTTTTTCTGCTGCGAATCAAGCCTCTCGGTCAATCTCCTGATGGCGTCTTTGATCTCGTCTGATGCTGCTGGGACTGGTCGGGGCTGCTGGGCTGGGGCTGGCTGAGCTGTGGCTGGTTGAGCCGTGGCCGGTGCCGCTGGAGCTGCCGCATGGTCGCGCCTTCTCCTTGCGGCCGGGTGTGGCGTGCGTCCTCTGGTGGGATCATGGCTCCCGTCTTCATCGGACGATTCGTCCTTTACTCCTGCCGCCTTGGCCATTTGATCTCTGGTTTCCCTCATCAGGGTTTTGTAGACCCTGATGGTTCTGGCGGCCGTCGCCTCCTGGTCCAGCATCTTGCTGAGCCGCTTCTCCATCTCGGCATGCTCCTCCTCCAGCTTTTCCAGCGTGGCCCTGAGCTGCTTCATGCGCTCTTTGTGGGGCAGGACGAAGGAGATGTTCGCGGCGGTGATCGCCGCTTCCTGCTCGAGGCTGGTTGTGCACAAGCCGGCCAGCCTAGCGCCTGCGATGTTCTCGGTGAGCCGACCCAGCCTGTGGCACTTGGTCTTGTACCACACGAACCTCATCTCTTCGTCATCTGGAGGTGCGGACCAGCTCTCGTGCTCCATCGCGACGGCGAAGGAGACTGGCGTGATGCTGTCCAGGACTGCCTTCTGCTGGGGGCTGTACTGGTAGCTGCCGATGTGGGCTGCGGCAGGCGTGTCGAGCTGGTCCCTCCTTCTGCGCCTGCCGCTTCTCCTTCTGGCTGAGGCGCTCCTCCAGGGCGCTCTGTGCTTCCAGTGCTGGTCGCTGTCGCTTTGCTGCTGGTGCTTGTGGGTCTGTGGCTGCTGCTGCTGCTGCTGGTGGCGCTTGTGGGTCTGTGGCTGCTGCTGCTGCTGCTGACTATGCTGCTGCCACTCCCAAGGCCGCCCACCAATGGCTCCGTAGTCGCCAGTCCAGTCTGCGCTGCGCTGGCGCTGCGCCTGGGCTGTGGACCCTGCTCCTGTCCACCTTTTCCCAGGGCCGCGCTGAGGCGCCTCGAGGTGTGTGGTCCCTGCTCCTGACCACCTTTCCCTCGAGGCGCCTCGCTGCTGCTGCTGCTTCCAACTCTTCGCCATGTTGTCGAAGGGCTGTGCTGAGTGATGATCTGCAAGTAGTCGGGAGGCCTCGACTACCTTCAAGAGTGTCCTGGCGTGGCCTCGCGCTATGCGGGCCCTCCTGTGCCAACTTTCTTCCTTCTGCCTGGGCGTCTTTCTTTAGCCTAGGCGTCGCGGCCGCGGCGCTTCTCTTCAGCTTTGACTCTTTAATGGCGCCGCGGCGCGCTGGCCCGGGCTGACGGGGCTGGCCGAACGAGGGGACGACACGACCCCACGCGGCGGCGGGCCCCTCCTCAGCCCGTGGCTTAGGAGAGAGACCTCCTCCTCCACCTCGTTCCCCTTATGTTGCGTCCGCATCTATAATCCATTCCTCTCCCTCTCTCCCTCTCTCCCTCTCTCCTCCCCCTCCGGCCTCGCCCTTCCCCTGCCCAGCCTTTTCCAGCCATTTTGGCCCACGCAGAGCAACCAAAACGGGCGCCGCTCCCACGGCCGCCTCGCGACGCCCCGCCACCGCTCTCCGAGGACCCCAATAGTGCCTGTCCTGAGCCCATGCGGTGTCTGAGCCCGTTCGGCCGCCGAACAGACCTAGACCTCATCAGATTGACGAAAAGTCAAGGCGGAGGTTCTGGGCCCTCGCCGGACCCCAGGGCCGTCGGAGAAGGACTCGCGGGATGGATCCCGGGGAAGGCCTTGTCTTCGGACCCGCCGAATTTGGGGCGAATTCGCAAAGTGGGGCGGAAATCTCTGCCATACTTGTCAAGTCCCTTTGATGCCTTTTGCAGTCCTACTTTGCCCGTCGCTGTTTCGGCCATGCTGTTGAGGAACTATCCTTCCTAGTTCTCTGAGGTGGACATGTTCGCCCTATGTCATCGGATTGTTTGCGTGCGTGTCCGACGCAGTTCGAAATCCGGAAGTCACCCCAAGCTCGGTGGATCCGAAGTCAGGACCCAGGGGCCTTCTTCGCTGGGCCCTAGGACCGTCAAAAAGCGACTCGCGGGATCGAAAGCCGGTCGTAGGGAAGGAATCTTAGACCTCTGTGGTTATGATGTTCCAACCTGCTTTAGGCTGGACCACCAGCAACAATTTGCGCCAAGAAATACCGAACATTGAAGGTTCTCGCGTGTCGGACCCTGAGAGGCGATGCTCGTCAGACACTGTGGCGATGTGGATCTGGGTGCTCGAAATTATTTCTGGGATGTCCTTGAGAACGATGAGAGCAACTGTTGCTCCCATCGTAGAGTCTGGGTTAGCGTTTAGGGTTGTCGCAGCCGCATTAGCATAACAAACGGTTGCAGCGAAAACGCCATGTCCCGCTAGACTCTAGACCCAGCCGCTAATTCTAGACCCAGCCGCATTCCGCTAAACCCCAGAGTTGTGTTACACAACTCTGGGGGTCCATGCTGCGGGAGAGCTCACGGGGTCAGAGCTCTGGCAGCTATGGCCGTCGAGCGGCCCAGGACCCAGACCCTGCGGCGGCAGAGCGGGCTCGGATCCCGCGACCTCCTCGGAGGCCCGAGCCTCAAGCAGTAGCGAAGTGTCTTGGCGTGCCTATAAGCCCATCAAACAATGTTCTAAGAACCTGTTGTGGTTTCTACGACATGTTCTTTAGAACATCTCTGGCTGGGACTGTTTTGTTGTAGTACATCGGGGTTATATTCTAAGAACATCGTTTCCGTTCTTCGAACGCTTTGGGGTTCTAAGACCATGTCGTGGTAGCCCTATAGGAATGCCGGGACGGTCGGTCCCTGCTCAAGGGCCCGCTCGGCTTTTTTGCTCGGCGGCCGGGCGGGCCTAGACGCCGAACGGGCTCAGAATCATTCACACCAGGCGTTTTTCGATTCAAAGTTTGAGCATAGTTCTTGTTCTCATTATGAGCAGGGTTCGCTGTCGGCGTCGCCGCGGTCGTTGCCCAATTGAGACAGAAGGCCGCCTGCCCAACAGCGGCCGCTATCTGTTTTGGACAACATGTATTATTACGCATCGTGCCCATCTTTTCCGTACTCCCCTCGGGCGTCCAAACAGGACCCTCACGGATCGATCCGGCCCGAAAAATGCCGCAGTAAGATTTGGTCCCGGGCTTTGGTCGTGATTGGCCATCATGTTGAATGTTTTTTCTACGCCGGATCTCACGGAGGCTTACAAAATCATCGCAACCATCATTTTGCGAGTTCGGAGCGGATCTCTCGGGTTGACGCTGGGCCTGCTGCCTCCCCGGCTGGGGCCGGCGCCGAAGGCGCCGCCAGAGGGGGCCCAGCGCCGACCCACGAAAGCTGCACGGACCTCCGAAGGTTTCTGCTGGTGCCGCTCTCGTTCTTCTGGAGGCCCAGGCTTGCGCGGATCTTCCGTGTTCTTTTCGGGAACATGGACCCCGGGGGGATCCAGACCTCTTCTTTGGGACTGGCTCTTCATCCCGCTTCGTTTTTTCGCGCTCCCGGGGCCCAGCGAGAGCGCCCAGAGGCCGAACATTTGAAAAACGGTACCGTCCGCCTTGGTTTTGTCACGACGCGAGGAGGTTTGGGAGATGAAGGGAAAGACGAACTTATTGAATGCGAAATTCGTGGATCATCCCCGGGAATCAGCGACGGTCCGCATGGACCATGACCAAGATCGGTGCCGACACGATCCCGCGACATCTTCGTCAGGGCAATCGTGCTTCTTCCCCAGACCCCCGATGCCATGCTTATTGAAAAGTGGACACCCACAGGTCTCGACCCATTCATCCTGGGTCGTTGTCGACGGCCCCAGGGCTCGGCGAGGGCCCCCCGAGGACGAGAATCGCCAAAAGCCTCCCGTCGTGCTCGCCTTGCGACGCGAGGGGGCCACCTGTGGTCGTGCTTCGGCCCTCGAGGAGGGCAGCCATGCCCGCGGACCGCAGCAGGCAGCCGACGGTGCCCCGCGCGCCCGTCGCCGCAGCGGCCGGTCTGGTGGCCGGCGGTGGCGCCCTGCGGGCGGCGGCCTCGGCCTTTGCGCCCCCGCCCGCGGCCACGGGCGGCGCCGCGCGCTCCAAGGCGCAGAGTGCGCCCGAGCGGCAGGGCGCGGCCGCGGCGGCGACGCGGCGACGCGGCGGCCGCGGCGGCGGCGGCCGTGGGGACGCCGGCGAGACGACAGCAGCGACTGCGGGCGGCGGCGGCGGCCTCGGCGGCGGCGGACGGAGCCGCGCACGGGGACGGTAAGCACAGGGCCGCCGTCGCCACCGCTGCCGCAGCCGCTGCCGCAACCGCTGCCGCCGATGCCGCTGCCATCGCCGGCGGGTGCCGCCGTGCCGCCGCCATCGTCTCTGGAGAGCCGAGACGTGGTTCTGCCAGCGCGCGGCCCCAAGGGGCTCCCGACGGAGGGTTTCTCCGAACGGCTTAGGCGACCCGTCCTCCTATCCTCCTCTTCCTCCACCTCCTCCTCCTCCTCCTCCTCCTGCTCCTCCTCCTGATCCTCTCTTCTCAATACCAATACAGCGCTGCAGCGAGAGATCCCATAAGCGGGCACGCCGAGACCAAAACTTAAGGATTGGGTTCAGGCCACGCCTTTAGCCCAGGGGGGAGTTTCCCTTCATTCAGGTACTTCAACATGCGCTTCCCCCATTCGCCCACGCGATCGGGTCGGCACTCTCCCCCTAACTTGATGAATTTCCCCCGCGACCCAGTCGCCCCGCAAGCCTGGCACCAGAAGACCCCTTGGCAAAAGCTCAACTTATGCGATGGGTCG